AGGACGACGAGGAAGATGAGATGGAGGAGGACGATGATGACTCCGACTATCCGGAGGAGATGGAAGACGACGACGACGACGCCAGTTACTGCACGGAAAGCAGCTTCAGGAGCCATAGCACCTACAGCAGCACTCCAGGTACCCACCCAGCCCGGTTGCTGCAGACTCCTTCCCCACCTCCTCTACCCTCCCCCCTTGCTCACTCCCTCTCGAGTACTGTGCATCCTGCTGGGATCTCCCCCACCCCCGCCTCCTCCCCCCCACCCCAACAGAGGGGAAATGCGACGGCACATCAAGTGGCAAAAAACTAGATTTACAAGAGGAAAGAGGCGCATTGTTCAAAATGGAGATTGCATTGTTGCAGCTTGCAGGCCCCCCCCTCGCTCTCTTCCCCCCCCCCCTTTTTTCCTTTTCAAAATTTGTGCCAGTGCAGTGTCTCCACCGGGCAGGATTGAAACTTTGGCACACACATATCCATTGCATTCATTTTTCTCCCCTTGTTTTGGTGTGGTTTTTTGGAATGAAAGAAGCCTCTTGTTTTGCAAACCTCTTTGCATTTCTAATGTGGTTTTTTCCCTAGCTTTTTATTATTTATCCATTCCTTTAAAAGGAATTAAGGATTTAGACAGATTGTGGCACGCAAACACGCACAAAACATGCTTCTCTTCATACCCCCTAGCCGTGTGGTTTAAAAATTGTGTTAAGGAAATGATCAGTTGGGTTAGTAGGGGAGCCTTATCTGGTCCTGTGTGTTTGTTTTTATTCTTCACTGCTAATGGGCTCGTGCAACAGTTGCTGGTAAATGGCTGCTTAAAAAGCAAGGCAGAAAGCCAAACAAACCCAAATTTGGTAATCCATCTGATTTAAAATCGTTTTAGTTAAATCTAAAATAAAAGTTCAAAATTGCAGGAACGTGCGTCTTAACTAATTTGATCCCTTTGCTTTGCTTGGGACATGCAGTTCTGTGTCACCTGTTGCAGAAGATGTGTAGTTGATCATCCAGACATAGTTGCTGAAGATGCACTTTTGGACCAATTTCTAAGTCACACAGCAAAAGTATCAGATTAATTACAAAATTACTTTTTCTTTTCATTCTGTTTCTGAGGGAAAAGTCCTCCCTGGACCTGTGATGAATTTCTCCATGGTGAGTGACTCCCTCCTGTTTTCTCACACGAAGTTCCTCTAAACTGGTGCTGAGATGCATTTTGTTAAAAACACGCATACACACACAATTGCTGCTTTGTATTAAATACATAGTTATGGTTTACTAATTTGTGGGGGAAAAATAATTTATGGCAACAACTACAAGACTTTTCCTTTATAGTTTTGTTAATCTGGGTTAACTAAATTAGAACCTAGATATAAGATCGTTAACAAAGTAAAGTTTACGAGGAAGTAGGAGGGTCTTAAAATAATGAAGATTTGTCGTGTCATTTTTAGAAAGGGTAGTAGAAGTCATTAAGTTTAAATGTTTCCGTTTTTTATAAATGTTTTAATAGCTATTGGAGAAGTTTAGGTGTTAAACCGGGTGTAAACCCATTTAGATTGTCCTAACATCAAATGAACAAAGGTGATTTTTCTGCCTGACAGTAAGAATCTTTGGCTGTCTTGTCGGGGGGAGACTAGCAGGAGGACGAAGGGAATGAATCAAGTGTCAAGTGTCTGTGTCATGTATGTAGAAGGGACTGTATGCAAGTTTGCATTTCTTGCCAATTTAATTTTAGTACATCTTTTATAGTAATACTTTTTACCTTAAGAAATCACATGTTGGTCTCTTTGTACCAGGAGCCTGGAATTGAAACATAGATTGAATTACATACACTATTGGAGGAAGTTTTTTCTGGTTATACAGAGCTAAAACATTTCAGCAGGGTGGTTCAGTTAACTTTAACTCCAATTTGAAGGCCTAGCAAATAATATGCAGGATTGATGGCTGTGCATATGCTGAATTAAATTACAATTTTGAGGCTAGGCTTCCTTTTTTTTTTTTTTTTTTTTTTTTTTTTTTTTTTTTTTTTTTTTTTTTTTTT